ATATTTTGGTGGTTGATTGATATTTATATATATATATATATATATATATGTTTATGAAACTTGTTTGTAATATTTTTTTAGATTGTACAGAACAGGTAGAATAGAACGTGTTGAAAAAAAAAAAAAACACAATCTACAAGGAATTTCTTTTCTTTATTTTGTGCTGTTTTGCATCTTTTTTATCGTCGTCACTCTAAAGAATTGAACAAAATGCCCTTCTAGCTAGGATTTTGAATTTGTAGTCCAAAATTTTTTCACAAAGGACTGAGCTTTTCTCTAATTGGTGAGGTGTTGTTAGACTTTGATAGACCATCTTGAGTCTATATTGGTAATTCAAAGATTTTTTTCATGCAAAATTTAGTTCATATAGTCAGATTACAATACTATTTTTATATAAATAATTTGTTTGACGAATAATAATAAAATAATCATTGTATTATTTTTCTCACCTAACATTCATAAAATTATTCAAATGTAGTGTTGAATTCGTTGGAAAATGGAATGGTTACTCTCCTAAATTGGCTGGAATATAAATTTTTCTCCTTCTTACCAAACCAAACAAGAGAGAATATTTTGATGAAACAAAAAAATTTTCATTTTCATTTTCATTTTCATTTTAGCGAATCAAACAACCAAACAGGAAATTTATTTATTTATTTTAATAAACGGACCAGAGGCCCCAATTCATAACCTGTCAAATATTGGCGTCATCCCTAAACCAACATATGCTTGGTTGTACCTGAGAATTTCTCTTTTCTATTCCTTTTTTTTTTTTACCACATTTTGGTGAGTATTGGACAGCAAATTATGCTATGAACGCATAAAGGAAAATCACCAATCTTTTCTTACGTGATTTTGGAAATCGAATACCAAAAATTGAAAAAAGTGTACCAAAATCACCAATCCTTCTACGTTCTTTTTTTTTGTTTTCTTAATTTTTTAAAAATTTTATTTAGATCATGAATTTGGATAGGGATATTTTTTTTTTTAAAAAAAATATGAATGAAATGTGAATGAAATATAATTATATTTCACTTACGTTTTTTCTTTTCTTTCCAAATTTTTACCCAAATTTATAATTCAAACACAATTTTAAAGATTGGCACCTTTCTGTCGATTGATGGAAAATGAAGAGATAAGAAGAATCTGTCGATTGATGGAAAATGAAGAGATAAGAAGAAAGCACAAGTCACCATGTGTCAACATGTTGATGATAAACAATACCTATTATTTACTATTTTTAACACTTTAACATTAGAGAGCCACCTTGAGCTATTGCCAAAGCATCACATTTAAGTATATAACCGAATACAAGTATGACAATCTTGGCTTTGGGGATATTTTTAACTGCCCTATACTCCACTTTCTGGTAGCCATTTCCAGGATTACATTGCTCATCATAGCTCTGCCTCTGGGCTGCGACCACCACCACCCCAAGAAGTCTCATATTCTTGCATCACGGTAATTGCCTTCGGAACATGCCACTCATACTGGTGGTCATTTTGGCCACTCCACCCCTCTTGTGGCTGAACATAGCCACCTCCATTGAACTTCGCAATATGGTGGTTTGAGGACGGTTGTTCTGGCCACTCCACCCCTCTTGCTGCCCAGCATAACTACCATCGAACTTCATATGACGATGGTTTGAGGGCAGTGGAGTGGCGATGCCACCATATTGGTGGTTGTTCTGGCCACTCGGTGGAGTGGGGGTGCCATCATATTGGAAGTTGTTCTTGCCACTCCACCCCTCCTGTAGTTGAGCATAGCCGCCATCAAAGATCATTTGATGGTAGTTTGATGGCAGCAAATTGGAGGTGCCAAGTGGCATCTGTGGGACATAGGTTAGGTGGCTGTTTGACGGCGCATACTAGTAACCCTCTTGCTGGCGGACATCGTAGACTTGGTGCTGCTGGTATGCAACACCAGGATAGGCATCAATTTGGATGACCATATATAATTTCTGAGTTTGCGAATGTACACATTTTATCTGAGCTTTTGCATGCTATTTATAAGGTTTGTTTGGTGGTGAAAAATAGATGAGCCTAACAACTTTAAACCGCTAAATTTTACTTTTATCGCCTTATGGTTTGATCCCTGTATGGATTACTCTCATCTCATTTGAAAATAATTACACAACCCTTTTGTGATTTGTGATGCACAGTAATAATTTAATAATCTACAAGGAATTTCTTTTCTTTATTTTGTGCTGTTTTGCATCTTTTTTATCGTCGTCACTCTAAAGAATTGAACAAAATGCCCTTCTAGCTAGGATTTTGAATTTGTAGTCCAAAATTTTTTCACAAAGGACTGAGCTTTTCTCTAATTGGTGAGGTGTTGTTAGACTTTGATAGACCATCTTGAGTCTATATTGGTAATTCAAAGATTTTTTTCATGCAAAATTTAGTTCATATAGTCAGATTACAATACTATTTTTGTATAAATAATTTGTTTGACGAATAATAATAAAATAATCATTGTATTATTTTTCTCACCTAACATTCATAAAATTATTCAAATGTAGTGTTGAATTCGTTGGAAAATGGAATGGTTACTCTCCTAAATTGGCTGGAATATAAATTTTTCTCCTTCTTACCAAACCAGTCATGGGCCAATTTTACACTCTTGTCAATGTTAATGTTAATGTTAATATGTCAATGTGAATATTCATATTGTGAACGGGCCGGCCCGGGCCCCCCCGGGCGACGGGCTGGTTTCGGGCCGCCCACGGGCCGCAGGCCAATTTTACACTCCTATCACTGTGAATGTTAACTTGTCAATGTGAATATTCATATTATTAATGGGCCGGGTCGGTCCTATTTTTTTTGGCTTGTGGGCCGGCCCGACCCAACTCGAATTTTTCCAGACACCCACGAGGATCGACATGAGCCGGGCCACTACACATTGACAATACAAACATTTATATTGACGGTGTGAACATTCACATTAAGGGTATTTTGGTAATTATGTCACGTATAGGACTTATTGAAACATAAGAAAATAATGTGAATTAAATGGAACATAAGTAGATGAAAAGGGTATTTTAGTCTTCTTATCTCAAATTGGACCTAATGAAATAGTCAAAAAGAATATGAATTAGATGGAATAAAACTCTTAGAAAATTGATTTATCAAAAACGCTCTCATATATTATCTTATCTCATATATAGCACAGTAATATACTAATTTAGATAATCTCACACAAACAATCTCAAACCATACAATTCAAAACGTGTTGTCCACTCAATCTTTACAATATATATATATATATATACAGCCGAATGAGTGAGTGTCTCACATAAGAAGAAGAAAAAAACCTAGAAAAAATGCAAACGCTAGATTTCCAAAGAGATTCAAGAAACAAAAAGGAACGAAGAAGAAGAAGAAGAACAACAACAACAACAACATCAACAACAAAGAGAATATGGATGAAGAAAGAGAACAGAGCAAAAACAGAACTGAACGATTTACCACAAGAAATCCTTATCGACATACTCTCGAGATTACCCATCAAATCTCTCGTCCGATCAATCTGCGTTTCCAAGCAATGGCGTTCTTTGATCCAAGATCATGCGAAAACTACTCGACGACCCAAAATTCTTGTCTATAAAGCTCACTTGAAATTTTCTTTTCAATCCATTGATCAACAATGCCGTGTTGAAAGCGTTCGTCGACCATGGAAGAAATTTTTACCTTTGCTTGCTGACATTGCAATCATGGGTTCGTGTAATGGGTTGTTGCTTTTGCGGATTGAATCTGATTTGTTCTTGTGGAACCCGCTCACCAGGTGTTCGAAGAAAGTCCTGGCTTATCACCGTTTGGTTGACGCTGGCTATGATGTTGTTTCTGGGCTTTGTTTTGATTCCTCGAGGAATGAGTACAAGGCTGTAATGGCGCTTGCTCATGAGAGTCCAGATTACGGTGGTGAGTTCATGGTAATTGGTAGTTTTCGGAGCAAACTTTGGACATATGTCCAATTCCCTTACAGCGTTCGTACTGTGAAACCAGGGCCTGTATTGAATGAACATCTACACTGGTTGGCCTCTAAGGAAAGTTGGGGTCACTTCCTCTCAACCCATCAAATCGTTTCCTTTGATCCACGGAGCAATAAATTCAAAAAGGTACCAATGCCACAGCCTAAGGATGAGGATGGAGACGGAGATATTATACTTGGTTTGGGAGCTCTAGATGGATGTCTTTGTATGACTCGCTTCAACAATCCTAGAAACTTTGAAGGCAATGTTGAGGTATTGGCAATGAAGGAATATGATATGAAAAGCTCTTGGACTGTTATGTTCACGATATCGAATTCGGCCAGAGTATTTCGTTCCTATCATGGGTTTGTCCCATTGTGTTCTACAAAGAATAATGAAGTTATAATGAACCTCTGCGTAGGGGTGGATGAAGGATATGTAACGGCTTACAGTCCTAATGACAATTCAAATAGGGATATTCTAGTGGCTACTGATAATTACAATTTCAACGCAATTATGTATGAGGAAAGTTTGGTGACACCACCTGATTACAATTGGGAGGAGGAAGAGCTGAGAGGGGAAGCAACATATTTTGAAAAATACCGTTCAGGCTCAGTTGGAAAATGGAAAAGGATGAGGAATGGTTTTTGGAGATACTTAGAACTTGAAGAGGAAGAATATGAAATGTTTGGCCTAGATTTGGAGACGGTCTCAAAAGAGTTGCCATCAGAATTAGAAGAGCTAGAGCTTGAAGAGGAATAGTTTCAGCGTGAAGAGGAGGAACATGAAGAGTATGGCTTAGAGTTGCTAGAGCTTGGAGAGGAATACTTTCAGCTTGAAGAGGAGGAATATGAAGAGTATGGCTTAGAGTCACTCTTAGAAGAGTTGGTGTTGTTTCATTTAGATTGTTTCAGACAACAAAATTGATTTTTCATTTCTTGAATCAAAACTATTATACTTATTTTGTTGTTAATAACACATCAAAGGCGCATGTGAGGCTTGTTTGCTTTAAGTGATTGGATTTTGACTGCATAGTCTAACATTTGGGGCGATTAGTATTGTTGATTTTAATTTTGATAACAATGTATGATCTTATGAAGACATATATAAATATAATGCAGTTGTTACATAATGTTAAAAGTGTTGCAAACCTTTCCTGAATGAAGTCTCTGAAGCTTTTTAAACTTGAAGTCAAATTTATGCTGTAGCTAATTTTTCAGAATGGCCCAATAATTAAGAAAACCATGTCTTGATGTTCTATTTTATTTTGTTGATCTAAACATTGTGGACAACTATCAACATTCAATGACTTAATGACAAACATTACTTTGGAGATGCAATGCCAAAATTAATGTAGCTGGCTCATCGGTTGCATTTGAGTTTGGAAATTGCTGGGGTAAGCCTACACTAAAACATTTTTTGATTTTCTGTGCTGAGTTTGCTGTAATTGTGTATTGCCTTTTAAAATTAATAAGTGTTTTTTTATCTGAAAGTACCAACTTCTCTTTTCCCTGAAAGTAGTATGTAGCAACTTTATGTGGCATATTTTATGTGGGGTGTTAGTCATTTAATTAAGTTTCTTCACCTTGAATTTGCATTCTAGGTAACACTAAGTGGGAAATCATTATTTAAAGATAACGAACCTTCGTCACTAACATTCATATGATCAATTCTCCTTGTGTATCCATATGCATAATGTTTTAGCCACTTGATTTTGTTTTATTTTAATGTTAATTTTTCTCTTTGCAGGTGCTTAACTTTGAGAGATTTTCCTGGACCACACATTCATGAATGCTTTGCCTTGCACCAATCCATCTATAATTAAAGATTTCTGCATGCAACGGTCATAGTCTGGTAGGACTGCATCTGGACATTCAGCTTCCATTGTTTTCTCAGTGCAATGCTTCCTTGCAGCCTACACTGAAATTCTGAATTAGAGTCGAGGATTCAAATATTTGACATTGCAGACTCAGAAGAGCTAGAGTTGGAAGATGAGTACACCGTAAATAGCCATGAGAAGAGGAGAAATTCGTGAATGCTACCTATCATCAACTACTACTATTTGCTAGTGAGTGACAAATAAAATGAGAAACCTTCCAGAGAACAACACAATTTATTTATTTATTTAAATTAGAGACCAAATAAAAACCATAATAATAGATGGTTGAGAAATAAAATTGGATTTGGGTGTAAGGCACTTGAGCCCAGGGAAAATCAGCCAAAAGAAGATTTTTCTTATTCTTTCTTTCTCTTCCTCCCTAATCTGTACCTTATTTTTCATTGTTTCATAGTTTTATTTTTTTTATTTTATTTTTCCTGTGTGTGCATGTGAAGTGGAAGTGTCAACTTAGTTGAGATTGTCAAGATTTGTTATGATACTTTTTGCACTTCCCTGCATTGTTGATGTAATTTTGCATGTATTATACTCTTTCTTCATCAATAAAGTTTTTGTTTTTGCTGATCAAAAAAAAAAGTGGAAGTGTCATGCTTATTTTGTTTGTTTAGATGTTCATCAGATTATATTGGAGTAGTGTGCCAACCTTTCTTAATTAAATACGAAATTTAATATAATTCAAGTGATAGAAATTTAATAAATTTTTGATGAATAGTACCCAAATCTAATTATTAATCCACAATTTTTTACTAATATTTCAATGTAATAAGGAGATGGAAGATTTTTCACAGGTTCAGGAACGCTTTTCACATGACAATCTTCGTCGATGGAGTGAAGAGAAAACCTTCCACGAGCGAGAACTTTCTTTCGTGGTGCGATCTTCACATAACTTGATTGAATCAAAGAACGCTGTTGCTTGGAAACAAGAGTGTGCGAATTTCACATAACCTGATTGAATCCAAGAACGCCATTGCTTGGAAACAAGAGTGAATTTAATGAGAGATTTGAGGGGTAATCTTGAGAGTATTTCGATAATGATTTCTTCGGGATGGTTTGGTAGATTGACTTCTGCTTTTGCTCTAATCTTTTTCTCTTTCTCTCTTCTTCTTCTTCTTCTTCTTCTTCTTCTTCCTTGTCTCTTTCTCTTCCCTAAAATTGTTCGAACAGCTAGGGTTTGCATTCTTCCTTTTAAAAATTGTGAAGGGGCTAGGGTTTTTTCTTTCTTTATTTTATTCTTCTTCAGTTTTTTCTTTCTTTTGATGGTTCTGATGCTAATATTAGGGCTATATATATGGGAAAATACATATCAATTTTGAAAAAAACTATTATGAAAGGAAATGATCCTAATGAACATCTACACTGCTTGGAGTCTAAGAGTTACTTCCTCTCAACCCAACAAAAAAAATCGTTTCCTTTGATCAACGGTGGGATAAATTCAACAAGGTACTAATGCCACAACCAAAGGATGGAGATGGAGAGATTATACTTGGTTTGGGAGCTGTAGATGGATGTCTTTGTATGACTCGTTTCGACAATCCTAGTATTTTTGGAGGCAATGTTGAGGTATTGGCAATGAAGGAATATGGTATGAAAAGTTCTTGGACTGTTTTGTTCACGATATCGAATTTGGCCGGAGTATTTCTTTACTATGATCGGATTGTGCCATTGTGTTCTACAAAGAATGATGAAGTTATAATGAAATTCTGCATAGACGTGGATGGGGTATGTAAGGTCATACAATCCTAATGACAATTCAAATAGGGATATTATAATGGCTACTGATAATTACTATATCAGCGCGATTATGTATGGGGAAAGTTTGGTGGCACCACCTGATTATAATTGGGAAGAGGAAGAGCTGAGAGGGGAAGCAACATATTTTGAAAAATACCTTTCAGGCTCAGTTGGAAAATGGAAAAAGATGAGGAAGGGTTTTTGGAGACACTTAGGCCATGTTTATTTAGGCAGACTGAATTAGGTTAGATTAGTTTTCCATGACTAACAGTCTGAGAACTATATATCCCTTCGGATTGTGTATCCTAACATATGTTTAGATTGAGTCAGGATTATAAGATGTGACTAATAATTCAGTCTTTGACTTAGTCCTCTAATTTATATCTCACTCCCTTTGTGGGATTGAATAGTCTATCATATGTAAGATACCATATCCGGATGGATTGTTAATCTGTATTTCAATTGTTTAACCAAACATCGGATTAATAATTTTATTGGACTATTAGTCTAATCCCAAACTCATGTCCATCCAAACAAACATGGCCTTCAGGGTATATTTGTTTGGAAGAACTAGATACTGAGGGATTGGAATCCACTGGACTGTTAGTCCTGGGATACATTGTCCCCGGACTATCTGGTTGGACTGGATTTGTATCTCATGTTTGTTTAACCATGGGATTAGATGTCAGGAAATGACTATTTGGTTGGATAGGATATGAATCCTATGTTTGTTTGGGATATTATGGAGAAGGATAAATGCTCAAATGACTATTTTACCATTTTTAATTATTTACTAAGTAATAGCAATATTAAACATATCTTTAATATTTTAATTATTTTTAGTTAGATTAAACAAAAATTTATTTTATTTTATTTTATTTTTTACACAATTAAATAAATTTATTTTTAAAAAATTAAATAAATTAAATTAAATACTATTTCACGTTCACATCAGCAAGACATGAGAATTTAAATACTATTCCACGCTCACCTCAGCAAGATATGGGGATTTTATTTTTTTTGATCGGCAAAGAAAACTTTATTGATGAAGCACGTACATGGTACAATGGGAAACATCAATAAAGAGGAGCTAAGAGCTAAATGAAGCTCAAATCTCCAGTTGGTGAGAGACCAACAAGAGAGAAACAAGAATACAAACAACAAAGCTAGGAGCAAAACTGCAGCAGAAACAGGGCACTACAAAGCATTGCAAACAACAAAGCTAACACTGCACTTTACTGAACAAAACCAGGAAGCACTACAGAGCATTGCAAAAGACTACAATCGAGGCAGATAATCACTGCACTAAACAATCATACTTCAGATTCATATTCAGCCTACTTTAACCAACTGCAGAACCACCACCCAGGGCATTTTCCAAAACATTATGCAAAGCAGACCATCCCAGTCTCAACCTATGCACATCAATCATCTAGCAGACCCAGCACCCACAGAAATGCACTGCAGCACCACAAATAGAGCCTAGTGCATTAAGCAAACCAGCAACAGATAAATCCTAGTGCAGACCAGCAACACACTAGATAGAGCCTATTCTAGGGCAAAACCAACCCCAAGCAATCAAGCAAACCAGCAAGAGCCTTCCCAGCATCAAGCAAACCAGCAAAGCAGACCTGAGTAGCATACAGATCAACAACAGCGCACTAGGCAGTGCAGACCCCAAGACTGAGCAGGACCCCGCAGGACTGTTGCATTGAGTCACTACTGCTGCTACTACTGCTGCAGACCTATAGAATAGAATTCAGCCAGAACACATCCTCCATGCAGCAGCAAACAGATCTGCAGAGCTTCCCAGACCAGCAGGCCAGCACCACAGCTGTAATGCTTTCACAGAACTACCATAGACCCCCCCAAACACTCTCTAACCTGCCTCAAATTGAAGACAAAATCATGCACTGAATAATTGAGATCAGAAAGGTGTGATTTTACCAAAAAAGCAATCCTATGCTTGATTAGATCACATAGGTCCTCCAGATTTGAAATGGTTGCCCTAAACAGACACTCATTTCTGCACTTCCAAATTGACCACATCACTGCCAATGGTATTGCTCTCCAAATCTTATTTTCTAGCTTCCTCCACTTCCCTCCAGCCCACCACAGGATAAGGCTCGCCACAGAGCCTGGAATAACAGCTTGGACATCCTACCAATTTAGCATTTCAGCCCATATCTGCCACACAAAAGGACACCAAAGTAGCACATGATTCACTGATTCACCCTCACTACCACAGAATACACAAGCTGTAGAGGCTCTTTGGTTAATCACACCCAGCTTCTGTAAGAGCTCCTTGGTTTTCAATCTCTTTTTCCATGCAAACCAACCAAAGACCTGTACCTTAGGAGGGATATACTTGAGCCATATTAGCCTAGTTATGCTCAGAGAGACTCCAGCAGTGGCCACAGCAAACTTATACAAATCTGATGACATTAGAGTCCCAGAGGAAGAGGATGCCCAGACAAGTTGGTCAGGGCACTCTGAACACAGATCTGAGGTTGCCAGGAGCATGGTAAGTAATCTGTCCAGCTCCAGCTTCTCCCAATCATACAGTTCCCTTCTAAAGACCAGGAACCAACCACCTGCTGTAATTTTCTTGTCAACTATAACACCCAAAGACTCCTGTTTGTCCAAAGACAACCTGAACAGTGTTGGAAATTCATCCTTCAAGCACACAGAGTAGCACCATATATCAGTCCAAAAACAGATCCTGACCCCATCCCCTACCTTCAAATGAAAATTATTCAGATAGAACTCCTTCAAGGTAGTACACTGTTCAGCAACAGAGATGATCCCCTTCCACACTGTTGAGTGACTAATGGATGGAGTGAGTGACGGAATCCAACCACCCACCTCCATCTTATATTGGCTGCATATAACTCTTTTCCATAACGCATCCTTTTCCTTACCAAACCTCCACCACCATTTAATAAGCAGACAGTTATTTGCAACCCTCAACTGTCTAATACCCAAACCACCTTGATCCACTCTTCTAGACAACTCCTCCCATTTGATCATATGGATTTTCCTCCCCTGGTCAGAACCACCCCATAAGAATCTAGCTTGAATCTTATCCAATTCTGAAGCAACCCCTTCAGGCATCTTGAATAAAGATAAGTAATATACTGGCAAGGCTGAAGTTACTGACTTAATCAATATGAGTCTCCCCGCAAAAGACAACATCTTCCTCTTCCATCCAGCCAGCTTGCTTTTGACTTTGTCCACAACTGGTTTCCAAGTAGCCTTCTTTCTTGGATTAGCACCTAATGGCAACCCTAGATAGCTAGTTGGCAATGCTTTGGTTTTGAAATTCAAAATTGTGGCCGTATCATTCAACATCTCTATAGAGACACCCACCCCACAAACAACGCTCTTGTGAAAGTTTACTTTTAGGCCAGACAAGACTTCGAAACATCTTAGCACCCTCTTCAATTTTCTCACCTCCTCCACCTCAGCTTCACAGAACAAGAATGAATCGTCTGCAAATTGTAAATGAGTCAACAACACTCCCTCACGGCCTACCTTCACCCCTTTAATTAGGTTTAGCCCACAAGCTCTGCTCAACAAAAGATGTAAGCCTTCTGCAACTAGATTAAACAGAAAAGGAGATAGTGGATCACCTTGTCTTAGGCCCCTTTGAGGGCTAAACTCTTCAGTAGGAGATCCATTAACAAGCATTGAGACTCTTGCCATAGTTACACACTCCTTCATCCAGTTGATCCACTTAGCACCAAAACCGAACTTAGACAGTATAGAGAAGAGAAAACCCCAATTAATGGAATCATATGCCTTTTCAAAATCCAACTTAATAA